ATCCATAACTCTATCAGTTGAAATTAAAATTCTGATTGTTTCCGCAGTCTTAAAAGTGGCCTTTTTTAACATCGTCTATCCTGAAAAATCCACACTTCAATGATCCACGGATGACAAAACCAAATTTAATAACCATATCTCTATCATCCCAAAACGGCAAGCTGACGAGGTCAACCAAGTTATGAATAACGGTTTGAAGCCAGCAACTGGTGAAACCACTTTATTCCTGTGCCTGGAAAAACACGTATCACACCGTTTCATCGTTTCACTTACATCGCTTCAAATGCAGTTATTATCTCTTGGTTAGAGGTTCCAAGAAGCAACATTTGTATTGATGCTCCTCAAAATAAAGCCCAATTCAAGAATGTAATTAATCTAACGAAAGACTTAGTTCCAATACTCACGTAGGGAACTTAATTATCCTAAATCAGCATTTCATTACTTCCATGTGGAGTACACTGACAGAAAATCAAGAAGTCAACCTCACGGTTAGCTTAGCCCAAACTCTTTCCTACGTGTACTATGTATATACTGCATATAGGTTTAACTATCTTCTGCTACGAAAATATAACAAAATCGAAGTTTCAACGCTTATAGATTGAGCTTACCAGGCGTTACTGAATTAGTGGTTTTCTGTAGTATTCTTGATTTTACCACTCACTAGATAATGTACTGGAAACAGACTAAATGATACACAATAAAGGGGACAGTTTTCTCTCGACACCTCTCATGCATTTTGTGTGCTCACACTGAATGTGACTCGTACTTGGAAATTTTTTTTCCAGAAAAATATCCAGTATAAACTAGCGAGGCTGGAAAATTAACTTTAACTCCAAATAAATCAAGAATTTGTTTTCCAGAATAATAGTTTTACATCTATTCGTAACAATTATTACTTGTTCATTTCGGCAACAGATACTTAGTTTACGAAAAAATGAAAAATCTTACCAGTATAACAAGGATTTAAGAGTGAATAAACAATTGGCTAATACAATCCCCTAGTGCCTGTTAACCCCTACATAACGAAAGACCTATTAAAAGGTTTATTCACTACTTCAAGTTGTAAAGCTCTTGAAGTACTAAGAATTACCAACAACAATACATTGTTTTATTCAGTTCCACTGAAGTATTTTTCAGATCACGCACTTCACCTATGCATCAGATACTTGAGTTAAATAACACTACAGACTTATATCGGTCAAATGTTCCCACACGTCACTGCTGCTCCAGTTGTCAAACGGGAAAGAAAACATTCAGGAAACATAATATTTTATAACCTCGCCTGGTTAACTAGTTTACTAGTTACTAGCCGGTCCTAAGCCCGGGTAAAGAGGGAAGGTTGGGCATAGGGCTAGCAACCCTACCCCGTAAAACAAATCTAACCGCTAAAGAAACTTCAAAGCACAAACAAAATATAAAAAATGAAAACAAACTTATTCCCCGCTGGAATCGGAGAGGCGAAATGACGCCAGTTGGTGAAAGCCTTCGGGAAGCCAATTGGCCGATGTGTCTTCTCTCTCGATGAAAGCGAAAGTAAACGTGGGGACATGGAATGTCCGCACGATGTTTGAACCCAGTAAGGCAGCCCAGATTGCAAGGGAGATGAGAAGGTATCACATCGAAGTGCTTGGGATTTGCGAAAGCAGATGGAATGGGAGTGGACTCTCCAAACTGTCAACTGGAGAATCAATAATCTACTCCGGTCACCCAGACGCCAACCACGAGCACACTGAGGGAGTGGCTATCATGATGTCCTCAAGAGCATCGAAGGCTCTCATGCAGTGGGAACCAATCTCCTCCAGGATCATGACAGCAAGATTCAACTCAAAAGGAAGAAAGGTCACAATCATACAATGTTATGCACCTACAAAAAATGCAGAGCAAGAGAAAAAGGAGGAATTCTACAGACAACTTCAATCAACACTGGACAAGACGTCAGTTGGCGATATCAAAATTCTGATGGGCGACATGAATGCCAAACTGGGAGGGGACAACACAGGAAGAGAACTAACCATGGGTCGAGAGGCGCTAGGTGAAATGAATGAGAATGGAGAATTGTTTGCAGAATTCTGTGCATTCAACGATTTGGTGATTGGAGGCAGTGTGTTCAGGCACAAGGATATCCACAAAGCGACATGGACTTCACCAGATGGACACACTAAAAATCAAATCGACTTTATCTAAATCTCAAGAAAATGGAGACGCAGTCTACTTAACACAAGGTCAAGAAGAGGAGCAGATGTAGGTTCAGACCACACACTATCTAGTGCAAGGAACCTTCCAAATCAAGTTAAAAGCCTTCAAGGAAGCTGGTGATAGACCTCAATTCAAGTACAACACTCGGAAACTGAAGGATGAAACTACAAAGGAGATCTTCAAAGCAGCCATCAAGACAAAATGGGAGACATCGAGGGACATCCCTGAAGAAACCTGTGTGGAAGAACACTAGAAGTCTTTGAAAGCTATGTGGAAAGAAACCTGCACAACAGTATTCGGAAGAAAGAAGAAAGAAGACAAGGAATGGATCTCGACGGATACCTGGAAGCTGATAGAGGAGAGGAGGATGGTGAAGCAGAAGATAAACCAGTGCAAGGATGCTCAACGACAAGAGGAACTGAGCACAATGTATAAAACACTGGATAAAGAAGTGAGGAAGAGTGCACGCAACGACAAAAGACACTTCTACGAAACACTGGCAAGTGAAGCAGAACAGGCTGCAGGTAAGAGAGACCTGACGACATTGTATCAAATAACCAGGTTGCTATCAGGGAAGAGACCAACACAGATGAAACCAATAAAAGATGAAGAAGGAAATTTAATTACAAAAGAAGAGAAACAGAGGAAACGATGGGCCGACCACTTCAAGAATCTCTTGAATCGACCACCACCTGCACTTCCACCATAAATACCACCTGCAGCCGCTGAATTACAAGTAAACATAAATCCCCCAACGAAAATGGAAGTCCTGAACGCCATAAAGCTACTGAAATGCGGGAAAGCAGCAGGACCAGATGGAATCCCACCAGAAGCACTGAGAACAGATGCAGAGACAACAGCGGACATGCTCACACCACTATTGCAGAAGGTGTGGAAGGAAGAGAAGGTACCTGGCCATTGATTGGAAGAAGGGTTACCTTGTCAAACTGCCGAAGAAGGGAGACCTCAGTGTTTGCAAGAACTGGTGCGGAATCACTCTCCTGTCCACCCCAAGTAAAATATTAAGCCGCATCATCCTGGAGAGGCTTAAAGACGCACTGGATTCAAAACTGCGACCGGAACAGGCAGGCTTCAGGAAGTACAAATCATGTGCTGACCAAATTGCAACGCTTCGTATCATCATAGAACAGAGCGTAGAATGGCAATCAGCTCTATACCTCAACTTCATCGACTTTGAGAAGGCCTTTGACAGCGTCGACCGAGAAGTAATTTGGAAACTGCTTCAATACTACGGAGTACCGCAAACCTTTATCCGCCTCATTCAACAACTATATGAAGATGCCACATGCCAAGTAATTCACAATGGGAAGCTCAGTGATGCCTTTAAAGTGAAGACAGGAGTGAAACAAGGTTGCCTACTATCCTTCATGATATTCCTTATTGTGGTGGACTGGATCATGCAGCAAACAGTAGGCAGCGAGAAGAGGGGGATACACTGGACGGCGGAAAAGAACCTAGAAGATCTGGATTTCGCCGATGACTTGTGTCTAATGTCACACAAACTTGAAGATCTGCAGGCAAAAACTAACAAGTTGATAGAAGAGGCAGCTAAGACGGGACTTCAGGTGAATATAGAGAAGACAGAAGTGATGAAGATACCGCACCACCACCATCAACAACAACAACAAACTCCAATCACCGTCAACGGGAGAAACTTGAAGGAAGTAACCTCCTTCACTTATCTAGGTAGCACTGTTTCAACTACAGGCGGGACGGACGAGGACGTCAAAGTCAGAATCGGAAAAGTAAGACAGGCGTTCATTAGCCTGAAACCAGTGTGGAGATCTTCTGCACTCAGCATGCGGAACAAGATACGGATTTTCAACACCAACGTCAAGTCAGTGCTCTTGTATGGCTCAGAGACTTGGCGCGTCACGAAAGGTATTTCCAATAAACTACAGACATTCATCAACAACTGCTTACGCTCGCTGCTGAAGATCAGATGGCCAGAAAAAATAAGGAACAAGGAACTCTGGGAACGAACCAACCAAGAAGCTATCACGCAACAAATATGCAGGAGGAAGTGGAGATGGATTGGCCATGCACTGAGAAGGCCGACTGAGGACATCACGCGTCATGCCCTCGAGTGGAATCCCCATGGGAAGCGACGAGTCGGACGTCCGAGGGTGACATGGAGGAGGTCATGCGAGGAGGAAATGAGAGCTTGTGGGCTGTCGTGGGACCAGGTTCAAAAGATCTCAGAGAACAGAGGTCACTGGAGGCGTGCTACTGAAGCCCTATGTTCCACTAGGAACCCAAGGGACTAATAATAATAATAATAATAATATTTTATTGTCTCGTCTGAAGGTCATAGGGAAAATAGTATATCAAGATTACTCACTCGATGTTGAAAGTCTGGTTTCTAAGGGCAAACTAAATCTGTTGTTTACTTCTACGGTTAAAAATTATGAAAGATATTTAAAACTAAAGCAGACTCAACTTACACACAATATATTTAATAGTTTTTCAGATAACTTGGTAGTTAAATCGTTCATCTGACAGCTAAGTGGATCACTGAGGGACAATATGTTTCCCTAGTGTCGTATGCACGCGGTAGTGATGAGTACTAAGAGGTGCGAAACGAAGATCTACAGCTTCCAACAGACTGACTAACAATAGATGCCTACAATGATCAGACAGTAAGAAAGGTTTCTGAACAGTAGCTTACGTGTTATCGAACTGTTCATTATCGTTTTGCCGAAATAACACGCATATATATAACTGAGTACAGAAGTTAAATTCGAAATCCCAAGTTCAAAAAAGAAATAAGGTTGCTTACGTACCAAACTTGTTTCATAGTTTTCAACATTAGTACTGTTGCTCACTGAACAGGAATTTGTTTGACTACAGTCAGTCGGTGCGAAGGATGATGAGGATGAAGAGATGTGTTCGGGCATTGTAAAGTTTTGGAAGTAAACAGGATAATTATTTTTTATTCTATAATAATGTTTAATAGGTTTATAATAAACCAAACGAATTGTTAAGGAGATATAAATTGTTTTAATTGTTGAAGTTAAAAATATATATTTCCCTTCATTGACTTCAATTAAATGCAACCATCAATGATCATTATTATGCTACGTAACTGAGTTTTGCAAGATGGAAATATGTATAAGCTGAACTTCTGAAAATGAATGAACTGAGGAAAAAAATGATCTGATTGGTCAGTTAAATTTCCCTATCAACACAGATTAATTTCCTACAACTTCAATTGGTACACCAAAAATGTGTGAAATTCTTCCCAATAACTGATTATAAACGTGCATGAATATTCTCGTTTACATCACGAACCACTGATATTATCTCCGGAAAACTTGTTGTTAATTCTTCCGATTAATGATTTTTATGAAAAAGGACTCAATATTTAACATACTAGCCAACTGCTATCATATCACATGTCTTATTTTATCAAAGTAACATATCTCACAAAAATGACTATGCAGCTGTTATGAACAGAGGAAACGAGTGTACTTAATAATCTTGATAATCTTTCAAGGGGGGATTAATCATTATTAGAGTCAGTGGAAGAGACATGACCGCACTTAAAATCACCTTTCCAGCAGCTAATTTAGTTTACATCTGAAAAAAAACCTTTAACCACAAGAGTAGAAAGTCAACAGGTTTCCACTTGTATCTGTCAGTTCATGTGTACATGTCTGAGCAAGTACATCGGAAGGACGGAAAGCTTGAGACAAGATTTCATGAACTGACTTAAAAATCGTCAAATTTAAAGGAGCCAAAGTGTCTCAAACGTTCCATTACCAAACATCTGAAGGACACTGCACACGAAATTAAGATTTCTTAGGTATTTAAAATTAGCAACAAAAAATGTCCTAATAAATAACTGAGGACTACAGAAGCCGCTACCATCAGAAGAGTTGAACAGAATTTATGCCTTCAAAAAGAGCAAGCTGGTGACATTTGGCATCCATGATAATCATTGATTTGCTGATTCAAAATTATAACCGCATCTACAATTTTAAAATTTTCATACAATGTTACACATAATTTCATGAAAAACACAAACTTAAAAACATTTTTTAAATCAACTCACATTATGATGATTATTACATCTATGGGTTCCTAGTGGAACATAGGGCTTCAGTTGCACGTGACCATTGCACTCTCTTCCCTGCAGTCTTTTGAACCCAGCTACATGACTGCCCACAACCTTCCATTTCTTCCTCACATGATATCCACCATGTTACCCTCACCTCGGACGCCCAACTCGTCGTTTCCCCTTTGGATTCCACTCGAGCACCTGGCCTGGCACATGATGTCCCCAAATGGCCTTCTCAGTATATGTCCAATCCAATCTAATCCATCTACACTCTCTTCTGCATATTTGTTGGGTGATGGATTGTTTGTTTGTCAGTTGCCAGCCAGTCAGCCAGCCAGCTAGCCAGCCACAGTTCCTTCTTGCTTATTCTTATTATTCTGGCCATCTGATATTCACTGTCAGTATTGAGTGAGCTTAAGTGGCAGCTGTTGATGTGATGTATGTCTGTAATTGTTTGAAAATGTTTTTCGCAACGCGCCAAGTCTCTCAACCATCACATAGAATCACTGACTTGATTGACATTAGTGTTGAAGATGCGGATCTCATTCACGCTTTATGCTGAGTGCAGTGCAGTGCAGTAGATCTCCACACTGGTTTCAGATTGATGAAGGTCTGTCATGTTTTCCGATCCTGGTATTTGATGTCCTCATCTGTGTCGCCGCCTGTACTTGAAAAGATGCTGCCTTGGCTTGGTAGGTGCGAGAGACCACTTCCTTTAGGTTTCTCCCGTTATTAGTGATTGGTGCTTGTTGTTGTTGGTTGGGTATCTTCATCACATCTGTCTTCTCTGCGTTCACTTAAAGTCCTGCCTTTGCTGCCCTACTTCTTTAACCAACTTGCTGGTTTTCACCTGCAGATCTTAGAGTTTGTGCGACAAGACATTAGACAAAAATCGTCATCGGCGAAATTCACATCTCTTTCTGGGGCCTTTTCATCGGTTCAGCCAGCGTTATGGCTATCTTCTCGCTCCTCACGGTTTGCTGCATGATCCAGTCGACCACAATCAGGAAGATCATCGGTGATAGTAGGCAGCCTTGTCTTACTCCTGTCTTCACTTCACTTCAAACGCGTCACTTAGCTTTCCACTGTGAATCACTTGGCATGTGGCGTCTTCATAAAGCTGTTGAACGAGGTTCATAAACGTTTGTGGCACTAAAACCATAATGTTGAAGCAGCTGCCAAATTACTTCACGGTTGACACTGTCGAAGGTTTTTTCAAAATCGATGAAGTCGAAGTAAAGATTAAGTTGACTGCATTTCTATGATCTGTTCTATGATGATGAGTAGCGTAGCCTTGCAATTTGATCCACATATGGTTTGTTCTTCCTAAATCTAGCTGGCCAGCCTGTTACGGTTGCAATTTTTAATCCAGCTCACGCTTTTTAGTCTCTCCTGAATGACGCGGCCTAATATTTTGCTTTGGTTGGACAGGGATGGAGCATTATTCTGCACCAGTTCTGGCAAAGACTTAGGTCTCCCTTCTTCGGAAGTTTGACAAGACAACCCTTCTTCCAGTCAATCGGCAGGTACTTTTCCTTCCTTCCAAACCTTCTGCAGCAGTGGTAAGAGTATGTCCGCCATTATCTCTGCATCTGTCTTCAGTGGTTCTTGCGGAATTTCACCCGACCCTGATGCTTTCCCGCATTTCAGCAACTTTATGGCGTTCAGGATTTCGGAGGGCTTGTGTTCACTGATAGTTCTGTGGCTGGCCTGTTGTTGGTATTTCTAGACGAGTTGCAGGTGGTGATGGTGGTCGATTCGAGAGTTTTTTGAAGTGTTCAGCCCACCGCTTCCTTTGTTTTGCCTCTTTGCTAACTAGGTTTCATTTAATATCTTTCATTGTTTTCATCTAAGTTGAACTCCACCCAAATAGCATTTTGGTCATTTGATTTAGTGTTGTCAGGTTTCTCCTACCCGCAGCCTGTTCTGCTTCACTTGACAGTGTGTCATTTTAGTATCTTTTATCATTGTGCGCACTCTTCTTCACTTCTTTATTCAGTGTTTTATAGGTTGTGTCCAGTATTCATTACATCAGTACTTACCACCTAAGCTCACTCAATACTGACAGTGAATATCAGATGGCCAGAATAATAAGAATAAGCAAGAAGGAACTGTGGCTGGCTAGCTGGCTGGCTGACTGGCTGGCAACTGACAAACAAACAATCCATCACCCAACAAATATGCAGAAGAGAGTGTAGATGGATTAGATTGGATTGGACATATACTGAGAAGGCCATTTGGGGACATCATGTGCCAGGCCAGGTGCTCGAGTGGAATCCAAAGGGGAAACGACGAGTTGGGCGTCCGAGGTGAGGGTAACATGGTGGATATCATGTGAGGAAGAAATGGAAGGTTGTGGGCAGTCATGTAGCTGGGTTCAAAAGACTGCAGGGAAGAGAGTGCAATGGTCACGTGCAACTGAAGCCCTATGTTCCACCAGGATCTCATGGGACAAATTATTATAATAATACCAATATGTGCTAGCAATCATGCTTTACCACCACTACCGGTATACGTTATTAAAATGAAACATGTAATTGTCTTTTAATTTGATGTTGTACTGACCGCAAGCCGGTAACGTTAATTTCTGCTTTAATATCATAATTGATAAGTGTTTCTGAGTCATTTTATATATACCGTTTCATATTCCATTATCAGTTTTACTTCAATTTCATGCATCCACACAGAGTTCTTCTTTTGCATACACCCATCACCTAAACATGGCTAGTCTGTGTGTTTAGTAGAAATCCACACAGCCTCTTTCTTTACTTTGATTATCTCCTACAACAAAACCCTTCCTTTCACGAATGACTACAACCAATATTCTGATATTTTTATTATCATTGTTATCATTTGTACTCTATGACGGTTGAAGGTAAGATGAAAATCTGGACCGCGGTCGGTTTCAAATCAGCGAATTATTATCACAGTTTTGATCATCTCATTCTCCCTTGCTACCTCTAACTCCTGTCAATTTACCACTTGATGTAACAACTTATTTTCGCTTTTTCGGTAGTTATGCTATACGGAAAACTAATTATGTAACAACCAGTTTGAAATTTCTTAAAATGTTTCTACTATATTTAATCTATGCTTTAGTTATGATCTTAACTACCTGATCACTTTTCACCCTTTTGATACTTTGTGATTGATAAAATGTCATTAAACAACTCTCACGACTAGATTGTTATGTAAATTTGCGTTTTGAAAATACTGGTAGCTGGTTCGAATCCGACCACGGTCCAGATTTTCATCTCATCTTCAACATTCACCTGGTATAAATACTAGTCTGCTAGACTACGGCTATCTTAGATAGTCAAATGAAAATGCTAAACAATAATGTACAGCCACTGATGAGAAACTAATTGAAAAGAAATATTTCTAAATGTCTTGGTGGGAACTTTTGGATTATTGAAATGTCATTTTGCTTATTCGATTGTTTTCATAAAATTCATTTCCAAATTAATTCTAGAACATAACCAATGTGTAGTTTCCAAGACTATTTTTTGTATACAATTCTTTTTCCTAATATTGCAAATATTTGAAGACTTGTATTGAGGCATAGTAAAAGGTGAATACTTATTTATTAAGTTTTTTTGCAGTTATTCAATTATCACTTTTATTAAAAGAAAAGAGAGTGAATTCTAATTTATTGTATGAATAAAAACCTATTATGCACGAAGATGGACGATCTTAAGTAGGCTCATGCTTGGCGTCGTTTGTGTGCACCACTGTATAGTGGTAAAATAGAATGAAAAAGCTGTTCAGCAATTTTTGAGTGTGTATTGTTTTCTAGCTGATGTCTATACACACAACAGATATTAAATTCGCTTGCAG